CAAGCACTCGTCGGAAATGTAACGCCCCTTACCATAATCGCGAGCTTCATCTTTCAAAATAAATGTAAAGACAGAGCCCGAAAGGGGAACAGAGTCGTGTGACAGACACAGTGATAAAGCTGGTCTCTCGCGCGCGCGCACACACACACACACACACACGCACACGCACACGCACACACACACACACACACAACGCGCAAAACTCCGCATTTGAACAGTCAATAGCAAATACTTAAACTAATAACAAAACGGTAGCTGATTCAGAAGCGCCAGATTGTCATAGCAAAGTCAGAATGACCTCCTCTCCTAGGTTCACGAAACGGTCGTCCATAAAATGCATTGCTGTTCTGTTGTAAGTAATCTTAAAGATTCCTAAATGCATCTACTTTCGGAAGGCCACATAAAGTGCTTTTGCTTTCGCCTAGAAACACACAGCGTCTCCCTGACATGCTGCTTCAACACTAACTGCGGTTACTGAAACCACGCCTTCTTTCTTTGCGTGCACATTTGGGCGGCATTATGCAAATATTTCCACATAGTGAGGTAGATATATGGGGGCGTGTTAGAACGAGCCGTTTTAGGGGGACGTGGCAGAGTCTTAACTTTGATAAAGAATATCTCTTTGGTTTTGAGACTTTAGTCTTTGCAACTTCAGGGATCTTATCTATGCACAATCAGCTTGTAATACTCCAAAGAGAAAGGAAAACTTGAAATCGCATCATATGACCCCTTTAAGACATACTGCTGCTGCACAAATAGCATATAAAATAACCCGTAGCAGATCTATACAGGTGGAGCTAGGGAAGGTGGAGGGTTTCAGAGGAACTCTGAAAGCACGCTGCAATGCTCAAGCGAATGCTAATCAGCCATTTAAATGTAAAGCAGCAAGCTCATTGGCTGTGTATGTCACATGAACCAATCAGCTTGTAACAAGTTGAAGAATATCATCAGTTACTTTCAGGACATCAGCCTGCGCCATCTAGAGTTTCATGACAGAACTTTTTCAATCCTGTGGTCAGTCTTATTTTATCAGTATTAGTGTTGTTGTATTAGTTATTTTAGTATTATTTAAATACTGGTATAGTATTTATTAATATTTTGAATTTGCTTTAATTTGTATGTTTTTTAATTTACATTTAAATTTAGTCATTTAGCAGACACTTTTATCCAAAGCGACTTACAAATGAGGACAATGGAAGCAATCAAAATCAACAAGAGAGCAATGATATACAAATGCTATAACACAATAACACTAAGCAAGGTTTGTTTTTTATTATATAATAAATAAAAAGAAAAACTAGATAGAATAGAGCAAACTCGTGTTAGAGATCTTTTTTGATTTTGTTAATTGTATAATAAATAAAAAGAAAAACTAGATAGAATAGAGCAAACTCGTGTTAGAGATCTTTTTTGATTTTGTTAATTGTATAATAAATAAAAAGAAAAACTAGATAGAATAGAGCAAACTCGTGTTAGAGATCTTTTTTGATTTTGTTAATTGTATAATAAATAAAAAGAAAAACTAGATAGAATAGAGCAAACTCGTGTTAGAGATCTTTTTTGATTTTGTTAATTGTATAATAAATAAAAAGAAAACCGATAGAATACAAAAAGATTAGAAGCTAGTGTTTTTTTTTTTTTAAAGAAAACAAGCAGTTAGTAAACAAATGAAGTGCATGTTTTTTTTTAAAGAATAGAATTAGAATAGAGAGTGCTAGAGTTAGAGGGTCAAATAAAGGTGGAACAGATGTGTTTTTAGCCGATTCTTGAAGATGGCTAAGGACTCAGCTGCTCGGATTGAGTTGGGCAGGTCATTCCACCAGAAGAGAACAATATTAATTGAACATTAATTTTAATTTTAGTTTTATTAATTTTGTTATGTGCTTTTGTCTTTTTTTTTATTAGTGTTTAATTATTTTTTAAATATTTAATAAAATTACTATTAACTTTTTGGAAAATAGTTCAGAGTGCGGTTCATGTATATTACAATGTATTATATACTATATATTATTTATAATATGATTTATATATTGTTATAATAATATTATATTTATAGTTAATATTATATTTATTAATATCATGAATTAGCTTTTAATTTTATATTTTTATTTTTTTCAGTTTTAGCAATTATAGTACTTCAGCTTATTTATTTCAGTTTGTTGCAAAAGTTCAGTGAGAAATTGATAGTTAACTTACATGAAGACGCATTTTAAGTTTTTTAAGTAATTTTTAAACCATCTTTGATATTATAATTTTTTCATTATACCGGTAATTATTTAATTATATAATTATTTCAAATTTACCCCTGTTTATTCACTCAAGTGTGCTGTTGTGATAAAACAAGACTATTTTATCTTTAAAAACAGAGTTTAATGTTTTATTCTGCATCTAACCCTCTTTCCACCATGTCTTTCTCTGTCAGGTTATTTTTTGGATAATTTTTGTACTGCATTGATCACAGAATCGGCAGTTCACTTCCTTACACTGGCACTGATCTGTATGTAAAGCTATGATACTCTATGCATCTGTTTACAGAAACATATTATTTTACCTGATCTCAGTGTTGGACAAATAGGTATTTCGGGTACATGTGATTTCACAGATATATGAAGCTATGCAGAGGCGGACAGTAACTAAGTACATTTACTTGAGTATTATTTTTTTCTGGAAACTCATGACTTTAACTTCACTACATTTGAAAGACAAATATTGTACTTTTCCCTCCACTACATTTTTATGAAGGTCCTCGAAGTAGAAAGTCGTTACTATGTAGCAGGTGATATTTTTCTTCTCTAAAACATGACTTTCTTTTTTTCAGACAGTTTATCAGTAATCACTCTTGTAGGGCTACACGAAGAGATTTCCCAACATTTTTTGAACACTTACCAGTTGCAAATGTGATATTTATTTACAATTCAATAATAGGAAGTTAATATTGTGGTATATATTAGACACAATATTGTCTGATTTTGCTAAACTGTGTAAGTGAAAATATTACCTATAAAGCCACAGAAGAACTGTTGTGTGTCTCCTAATAAAACACAATAGGTGTTGGACTTGAAGCAGCACTAAAATCAAATTTTCCACAGGTGATTTATACATTTTGTTTGATCATATTGGAGATTGAGGATTGTGTCAACTTACCAGAAAGTGTTTTTTTATTTATTCCTAGTTTTGTTATAACTTACTTGCTCATTAATTGTAATTTCTTGATTATATAGTTGACGTTTCCAAAAAGGCTCACATCTTTGAGATTTGCAATTTGAGTCCAAGTGCTTTAGTTTCATTCGGTATGTGTTTTCATTCATTGTAATAAAGCTGAAATAAAATAAAATTTAAGATGAAAGCATAAACAAAATTTTTTACAAAAAACCTAATAAAATAGGTTTAAGTTGGGGTATTAAAAAAATTAATTAAATAGAATTGTTAAAAAAAATTATAAAAATGACAAAAGCACATAACAAATTTACCAAAATATAAAATAAACTTAAACTAAAAACAATCAAAAAATATATAAATACAAGCTAATTCAAAATGTTATAAAACACTAATGCTAAAATACCACTAGTGTCTACCTAATGCATAAATGTAAATGTTATTTAATAATATATAATGCATAATGTAGTTCCAGCACAATGGATATCTCTAAATGAAGCAAGGTTGTGGGTTTGCGTCCCACCGGTTTGGTGTAGTGGTTAAAGCTTAAGGCTGGAAGCTACCGGATGCTGGTTTGGGTCATTAGCTATTAGCATAGTGTCCTTGAGCAGGGCACTTAACTTCAGGTTACTCCGCAGAGATTGTGTCGGTAATAAGTGAACCGTAAGTTCCTTTGGATAAAAGCATCTACTTACCGGAATAATGCATGATTTGTTAATTCAGTTCAAGTTTATTTGCATAGCACTTTCACAATTCATATTTGTTTCAAAGCAGCTTTACAGAAAACTAGTGGATATCACCATGCTTCCCCAGTTGACTTATTTATTTTAAGAATTAAAAACAAGTTTTCCAAGTTTTCTGAAATGCAAAAAATGGCGTTGTGTAATCAAATATACACTAGCTTGAATACATTTACAGGAAATAAATCTGAACATTGGACAAAGCCAGGTTCAAAAGTCTTGTTTCATTTTGTTAGCATATAGTTACTGAGGAGATTTTGGACATCTCTTGTTATTACTCCGTGAATTGGCATTTTCACTATGTTTTTAGAAATAAATGTTGTAAAAAATCAGGCGAATGATAAATGAACAAACCCCTCTATAAAAACCTTCAGAATATAGATGGGAATAAAACTGTAAAGTTTGGTGTATGAAAGAGCTACAGAAGTGGAGATGAAAACTTATTTACAAAAAACAACCTTTTTGTTTTTTGTAAATAAGTTGAATTTTTTTTATTGTAATTTAAATCTACATGCGCAAATGGATACAGCAGTGCAATAAAATAAAGGCTTAAAGTGTACTTTTTTATGTTTTTTTTTTAAACCAACACATTATGAAAAGCCAAATAGCCCAAAATGGAAGAAAAAAAAGTTTTTACTTACAACAAATGCTGAGTTACAACTTGTGCTTGTTTTGTATGTTGATCCATCATTTTTAGTTATCTCTGCCGCTCTCTTTCTTTCTTGTTTTTCAGTATGTGGCATGCGGATCCCTTCTGTTCATCCTCATCTCCATTTCCACCTTCTGCATGGAGACGCACGAAGCGTTCAACACCATCTACAACAAAACGGAGAACGTGACGGAGGGGAACGTGACGAGAGAGGAGATTGTGTACGAGGTGGTGACGGACAGATGGCTGATGTACGTGGAGGGAATGTGCGTGATCTGGTTCACCATCGAGGTGTTCACGCGCATCGTCTTCTGCCCCGACAAGGCCGAGTTCTTCAAGAGCATTTGTAATTTAAATCTACATGCGCAAATGGATACAGCAGTGCAATAAAATAAAGACTGAAAGTGTACTTTATGTTTTTTTTTAAACCAACACATTATGAAAAGCCAAATAGCCCAAAATGGAAGAAAAAAAAGTTTTTACTTACAACAAATGCTGAGTTACAACTTGTGCTTGTTTTGTATGTTGATCCATCATTTTTAGTTATCTCTGCCGCTCTCTTTCTTTCTTGTTTTTCAGTATGTGGCATGCGGATCCCTTCTGTTCATCCTCATCTCCATTTCCACCTTCTGCATGGAGACGCACGAAGCGTTCAACACCATCTACAACAAAACGGAGAACGTGACGGAGGGGAACGTGACGAGAGAGGAGATCGTGTACGAGGTGGTGACGGACAGATGGCTGATGTACGTGGAGGGAATGTGCGTGATCTGGTTCACCATCGAGGTGTTCACGCGCATCGTCTTCTGTCCCGACAAGGCCGAGTTCTTCAAGAGCATGCTGAACATCATTGACTTTGTGGCGATCCTGCCTTTCTACCTAGAGGTCAGTCTGAGCGGACTCTCCTCCAAAGCGGCGAAAGACGTGTTGGGCTTCCTGCGAGTGGTGCGCTTCGTCCGAATCCTGCGCATCTTCAAGCTGACGCGCCACTTCGTGGGTCTCAGGGTTCTCGGACACACGCTTCGCGCAAGTACCAATGAGTTCCTCCTGCTCATCATCTTCCTCGCTCTCGGCGTCCTCATCTTCGCCACCATGATCTACTACGCCGAGAGGATAGGAGCCAGTCCGGACGACCCTACGGCGAGCGCGCACACCAACTTCAAGAACATCCCCATTGGTTTCTGGTGGGCCGTGGTGACCATGACCACCTTAGGTTATGGAGATATGTATCCGGAGACGTGGTCGGGCATGTTGGTGGGGGCGCTGTGTGCCCTCGCGGGAGTGCTGACTATTGCCATGCCCGTGCCCGTCATTGTTAACAACTTCGGCATGTATTACTCTCTGGCCATGGCCAAGCAGAAGCTGCCCAAAAAGAAGAACAAACACATCCCACGAGCCCCGCAACCCGGCTCACCCAATTACTGCAAGCCGGATGCCCTCGCCATGGCGACGGCCTCGCCCCAGAGGATCCTGGGTAACGTGCTGGGCGGCGTGCTGGGCTCGAGCGGGATGGCGGGGGACTGTCCTTTAGCTCAGGAGGAGATCATAGAGATTAACAGAGGTGAGAGACTGAAGGGATACACACAGATTTTCATATGCACCACCAAAAAGTCTTTCATTGACTGGTTTTAAACTCATTATGGTGGATTCTGTAAAGGAATGGATGCAAGGAGATGAGAGATATATATATACACACACACACACACACACACACATAATTATGTCTGTTGATTTCCATGCTTGTGTGTTTATGTTTATGAACAACAAAAATGTATATTTTATATTATATATCTTTAATTGTATATATTATACATCTGTCATATTTATATTATTTTTTATAATATTTTATATTATATAATTTTTTCTTCATATATATATAATTTATTATATATATTATATTATATTATATATTATAGCTATTTTTGAAGA